TAAAGTGGAGAAGCCAAAGTTTTGTGAACCCTTAGCAAATCTCAAAATATTCGAAGGGTATTCTTCAAACATAAAAACTTTGTCTCGATGGATAATTTAAAGATTTATGGTTTGAAATCTAATGACTGTCATATACTTATGCAACAATTGTTACCGTTAGCCCTTAAATTTCTTTTGCCCAAGAATGTGAGATATGCTATCATTAGGTTAGACGGAGCAATTCTACGTAGAGGTCATTAAACCATACATCAAACGTGTCAAAATGAAGCAATTGCAGAGCTATACAACAGAATATGAAGGGATAAACTTCAATCTTTATATCTTTTTATTTAAACCTTTAGAATGCTAATGCAATGCACTATATAATTGTTATTAATACACATCTAACATGTCAAGATAGAGCAATTAATACAAACCTAACGTGTCAAGATGCAATAATTTTAGGGAGGTCATTAAACCACACATCCAAAATATTAATTCAATGTGTCAAGATGGAACAATTCTAGATACCCAAAATGAGTTTTACATGTCAACCAACCAAGGGTGTGATTCGGCTTTATATAAGAGCAATGCTAGTTTTACAAAGATACATACAAATGAGGCATACAAAGATAATCTTCACCCTTAATTTTTCATGATTTCTCTCTCTCTCTCTTTTCCGTTTTTTCTTTGTTTTTTTCTTCTAGATGATGTCACTTTATAGCTCTTTTTGTATGGATTTTTGTAAGGATATCATTTTTCTTTATATAAATATATATATTTTAAGAAATATAAACTGGTACGGATAAAAACAGTAAAACATTATGGGGCTAAAAGGTGATTGAGGTATGCACAACAAATATCATACGATATTTTCTTGTGTTTTAATTTTTAAATAGGAACACGTTGGAATTTCTTGTTTAATAAGGGGTATTCCCTGCAATTCACTCTAAGTTAGTCCTATAAAAAATTCATTTGAGAAATTTAGATCCCGAAGTAAATCGAAGATAGACATAATTGAACTCACTATTTCAATCCAGAGAAAAGTGAAGATTCCAAATCCGAAAGTCCAAATAAAAGGTTGAAATTTGAAAGTTGAAGATCTAACAGTTACAGACGAAGTAAACATGGCGGACTATTCTGAATTATGTGAGGAATCCGAAAGAATCAACGGTGAGAAAACCAAAACCAAAAGAAGTAAGCCGGAAGAAACACTCTACGGCGTTCTCCACCGTCTGATTGTGATGATTTTCTTCCCTGATCAGAATACCAGCATCGCATCAACTCCTCTGCTGCAGCGGGTAAAGATTTCTCTATCCGAGAATTGTTCCCCCCTTCTCGAAGCTTCGAAACAGACTGGCCAGCATGTTCTTCTCTGGACCCGTAGGGGCAGTCCTCTTCGTGCACTCTTGGTCATCTCTGTGAGCACCAAATATACTCATCCTGTACTTTCTAATTGTTTGCATTTTCATTATATATATATATTTTTTTTTTTCAAGAATTTAGATTATTAAGTTGTATTATTATTGTTTTAGTTTGATTCAGTTTTTTTTCTAATTTTCTTTCTTTCAACTGTTTGTTTTGTTTTCCTTTCAAAGTTTATACCTAATTAGTAACACAGTTTTTTTTTTTTGGGATAGTCCTAATTGTAAGCTGTGACCAGGACAAGCCCTTGTTTGGTATCTTTTATAGGAGAACGGGACAGGGCAATTTTTAGTCCCATTCTTCCTATACAGTCCCAGAAGATCGTTACTAGAGTCTAGAGACCCTTACTTCTTTCTTTTTTTGGTAACTGACCCTTACTTATTCAACATTGGACAAACGGTAATATTAATATTTAATTAATTTAAAATTTATAATTAATTTAGAGATAGTTTAAATATAATAATAAATATTGTCTTACCTAGTTAATTATTAAGTAATTTATATATACTAAGAAATTAAAAATATTAAGCATTTTAAATTTATAGTTTATATACTTTCATTAGGGTATGCTTAAATTAATTTTATTTTTTTATGTTATAAATATTATGTTAAATAATACACTCATTAATGAAATCTTATATATAAATATTACACTAAATAATATAATATAGTTTAATTTCAAACAGTAAATATAATTATTTAAGTATTGATTTAATTTAACTATTTAAACAATGAATTATTTTTTATCATAATTAATTGTTTACATAAATATCATAATTATTATATAATATTTTAATTCATAGTACCAACACATTATAAAGAAATATTTTAATGAATTAGTATTATTAGATAATTAAATTATTTTTATTTTGAATAAAATTTTTTGTATCTAATTGATTTTTATTAATACTGTAAATAAATTCTAAATTTTAACTTATAACATAAATATAATTTTTTTTCTTCCAAATATGTAGCATTTATATATATAAAACTTATTATCTTATAAATAGGATTAATTTACTTATTTTTTTAAGTAAAATGTTAGTTAGTATTTAATAAGTTAAACATAAATTTTAACTTTTTTAATTAATTTATTTTCATTTTTTTAACATACATAGTCCAGTCCCATCCAATACTACAACAAACACATGATCATATTACAAACGGTATTAGTCTGATCCAATCCAGTCCAATTCCAGTAAAATAGTCTAGTCCGGCTCCCAAACACACCCTAGTTTATGAGATTTGGACATCTGCCCTTTATTTATGGATCTGTAGTTAAATTTGTTTTAGTAATTGAATTTATCTATTGTTTACTTTTGTTTTTGGCGTTCATGAATATGAAAGCCTTTCAACTAATTTCATTACCTGACTTGTTTTGCTTGATGACAACTTGAAGCAACTTCAAAACATTACGGAACAACTATGAAATTGGCAAATAGCAAAACTGATGAACTTATATTCCTGTTAGAAGACAATTTTGCACCTGCAAATAACTTTCCTAGTTGTCTCATGTCTACTTCACAAAACTATTAACATCCACATAAACATTTTGCCATGATCTAGACTAAAAGTCGTACTTCACACCTTATCATCTTTTTGACCATGTCCTGGTGAGGAGTATTAAGGTTTGTGACAGAACCCATGAGGTGCTGGTCTACAATAGGAAAGGTAAAGGTGCGAAATTGAGAATTACAAGTTGGTGCATGAAGTGTGAAAGAATAGTAGAGGCAGATGGCAATTTTAGATAGGGACAGTACGGAATTCTGTTATGAGGTAGTGCTGGAGGAATTGAAAAGGGGATAATGTCAGGATAAGGGATATTCAGAAGAGTAAGGAAAAAGGGAAAGGGAGGATCCTGGCCCTCGAAGTTCAGCTGTTTCTTTGATTTTTTTTATGTCTTTCATTTTATCTTTGAGTATTGTTTTGGTAGGATAGGTGGTAGATTTACATTACCCAAAGTGTATCTCTCTGATCTTTGTTATCAATATGCACATTTCATTTGAATCGTGTTTTGATTACTGCTTTGGTTTGCTTTAGTTTGAAAGATAGAATTGTGTTGCTTGAGAGTGTGTGGGTTACAGGAGTGGTGTTCTATCCGTTTGTAAACCTTTTAAGATTCACAATTATATTTTCTAATCAAAAGTTGATATTGATTTCATTTCTTGTGAGTCCCTTATGAGATTGTTTATTGTGGCCATTGGATCCCATTCATATCCATTAATTTTCCTTAAATTATAGTTCAGTGTTTCTTCGCTGATGTATTTACTGGCCTCACGCCATTGGATCCCATTCGTATCCATTAATTTGCCTTAAATAATAGTTCAGTGTTTCTTCGCTGATGTATTTACTGGCCTCTGGACATTAGTGGATGTAGAATTTAACCCTTATTCTTATTTGCTTGAAAGAAGAGATTCAAAATCAAATATTAAAGTTGATGAGTTCCCTACAACAATGGATAAGATTTGATATTTTATAGGTGAATGGAAGAAGCCACATGACAAGGGAGTTTCATCTTCTCTACGCTGCAGCCATTATTAGCAGTATATCTCGCTAGGAATTGTGCTTTTCTCGGTTATAGNCGCACGATCGCTTAAGCGATTTATTCTATCGCTTAAGCTATCCTTTGCTTTTAACCTTGGTCGCTTAAGCGATTACAAATCGCTTAAGTGATCATGTCCGAGGCAAAATAAACTTCTGCTTAGATGCACAATTGCTTAAGCGATTAAGTGTATCGCTTAAGCAATTCTTCGCTTTTACTATTGGTCGTTTAAGCGATCATAGATCGCTTAAAGCGACCATGAACAAGACAATAAATAAGTGCCCAGACACATGATCGCTTAAGCGATCCTTTGCTTTTAACGTTGGTTGCTTTAAGCGATTTATAATCGCTTAAGCGATCATGTTCGAAGCAGAATCAACTTTTGCCCGGATGCAAGATCGCTTAAGCGATCTTCTGTCATATACCAGATCGCTTAAGCGATCCTTTGCTTTTACTCTTGGTCGCTTAAGCGATTTTAGATCGCTTAAGTGATCATGTCCGATGCTTGGAATTTGCGTCGGCATCCTCCTCTTTAGTTTCAATTTCAACTCTTGCCCTCCCTTGTTCTGCCAATAGAATGTCTTCCGTCGACGCCGTCTCCTCTCCTGGTGAAGCAACTTCAGTCATCGGAAGTTACTCCACCACAACTTCTTCTTCTCCATTTTTGGTAGATCTAGTGGTGCTTACAATTTGGAGAGTAGATGAGTTTTTTTTCTGTTTCTTTAAGGATTTCAACCATTATAACTTAATCGGGAATGGCAAGGAATGACAAAAATGCAAAGAGCAAAGAAATTGAGAAATTGCAGAAAATTAGAAGAAAAAATGAGAGAGAGAAAGGTGTTTGAATCCTGTTGTGAGAAAGAGAAGCTGAGAGAAATATGTTTTACCTTTCAAATTTTAAATCAACTTCTCTTTATTATACTTTAACCCATAAATGTTTAAATTTTTTCATCATAATCCTTTTTGTTGCTTAAATTACACTTCAGTGTGCCGCATCATATTTTTTTAACCCAAAAAAATAAAAATAAAAAGGGGCGATTTTGTTAAATGAAAACTTGGGATGGCCTGGGAGTTAAATTTCCTCTAAAAAAATTCATTTGAGAAATTTAGATCCCAAAGTAAATCGAAGATAGACATAATTGAACTCACTATTTCAATCCAGAGAAAAGTGAAGATTCCAAATCCGAAAGTCCAAATAAAAGGTTGAAATTTGAAAGTTGAAGATCTAACAGTTACAGACGAAGTAAACATGGCGGACTATTCTGAATTATGTGAGGAATCCGAAAGAATCAACGGTGAGAAAACCAAAACCAAAAGAAGTAAGCCGGAAGAAACACTCTACGGCGTTCTCCACCGTCTGATTGTGATGATTTTCTTCCCTGATCAGAATACCAGCATCGCATCAACTCCTCTGCTGCAGCGGGTAAAGATTTCTCTATCCGAGAATTGTTCCCCCCTTCTCGAAGCTTCGAAACAGACTGGCCAGCATGTTCTTCTCTGGACCCGTAGGGGCAGTCCTCTTCGTGCACTCTTGGTCATCTCTGTGAGCACCAAATATACTCATCCTGTACTTTCTAATTGTTTGCATTTTCATTATATATAGATATTTTTTTTTTTCAAGAATTTAGATTATAAGTAGTATTATATTGTTTTAGTTTGATTCAGTTTTTTTCTAATTTTCTTTCTTTCAACTGTTTGTTTTGTTTTCCTTTCAAAGTTTATACCTAATTATTACACAGTTTTTTTTTTTTTTTTGGGATATCCTAATTGTAAGCTGTGACCAGGACAAGCCCTTGTTTGGTATCTTTTATAGAGAACGGGACGGACATTTTTAGTCCCATTCTTCCTATACAGTCCAGAAGATCGTTACTAGAGTCTAGAGACCCTTACTTCTTTCTTTTTTTGAACTGACCCTTACTATTCAACATTGGACAAACTTAATATAATTTTAATTAATTTAAAATTTATATTAATTTAGAGATAGTTTAAATATAAATAAAATTGTCTTACCTAGTTAATTATTAAGTAATTTATATATACTAGAAATTAAAATTTAAGCTTTAAATTTATAGTTTATACTTTCATTAGGGTAGGCTTAATTAATTTTATTTTTTTATGTTATAAATATTATGTTCATTAATGAAATCTTATATATAATATACACTAAATAAAATATAGTTTATTTCAACAGTAATATAAATTATTTAAGTTTGATTTAATTTAACTATTTAACAATGAATTATTTTTTATCTAATTAATTGTTTACATAATATCATATTATTATATAATATTAATTCATAGTAACAACACATTATAAAAAATATTTTAATGAATTGTATATAGATAATTAAATTATTTTTATTTTGAATAAATTTTTGTATCTAATTGATTTTTATAATACTGTAATAATTTCTAAATTTTAACTTATAACATAATATAATTTTTTTCTTCCAAATATGTACATTATATATAAAAAACTTATTATCTTATAAATAGGATTAATTACTTATTTTTTTAAGTAAAATGTTAGTTAGTATTTATAATTAACATAAATTTTAACTTTTTTAATTATTATTTTCATTTTTAACATACATAGTCCAGTCCCATCCAATACTCCAACAAACATTGATCTATTACAAACGGTATGCTTCCAATCCATCCAATTCCAGTAAAATTCTAGTCCGGCTCCCAAACACACCCTTAGTTTATGAGATTTGGACATCTGCCCTTTATTTATGGATCTTAGTTAATTTGTTTTAGTAATTGATTTATCTATTGTTTACTTTTTTTTTGGCGTTCATGAATATGAAAGCCTTTCAACTAATTTCATTACCTGCTTGTTTTGCTGATGACAACTTGAAGCACTTCAAAACATTACGGAACAACTATGAAATTGGCAATAGCAAAACTGATGACTTATATTCCTGTTAGAAGACAATTTTGCACCTGCAAATAACTTTCCAGTTGTCTCAGTCTACTTCACAAAACTATTAACATCCACATAAACATTTTGCCATGATCTAACTAAGTCGTACTTCACACCTTATCATCTTTTTGACCATGTCCTGGTGAGGAGTATTAGGTTTGTGACGAACCCGAGTGCTGGTCTACAATAGGAGGTAAAGGGTCGAAATTGAGAATTACAAGTTGGTGCATGAAGTGTGAAAGAATAGTAGAGGCAGATGGCAATTTTAGATAGGGACAGTACGGAATTCTGTTATGAGGTAGTGCTGGAGGAATTAAAAGGGGATAATGTCAGATAAGGATATTCAAAGAGTAAGAAAAAGGGAAAGGGAGGATCCTGGCCCTCGAAGTTCAGCTGTTTCTTTGATTTTTTTTATGTCTTTCATTTTATCTTTGAGTATTGTTTTGGTAGGATAGTGGTAGATTTACATTACCCAAAGTGTACTCTCTGATCTTTGTTATCAATATGCACATTTCTTTGAATCGTGTTTGGATTACTGCTTTGGTTGCTTTAGTTTGAAAGATAGATTGTGTTGCTTGAGATGTGTGTGTTACAGGAGTGGTGTTCTATCCGTTTGTAAACCTTTTAAGATTCACAATTATATTTTCTAATCAAAAGTTATATTGATTTCATTTCTTGTGAGTCCCTTATGAGTTGTTTATTGTGGCCATTGGATCCCATTCATATCCATTATTTTCTTAAATATAGTTCAGTGTTTCTTCGCTGATGTATTTCTGCCTCATCGTTGGATCATCGTATCTTATTGCTTATTTAGTGTTTCTCGCTATGTATTTACTGGCTTGGACATTAGTGGATGTAAATTTAACCCTTATTCTTATTTGCTTGAAAAAGAGATTCAAAATCAAATATTAAGTTGAGAGTTCCCTACACAATGGATAAGATTTGATATTTTATAGGTGATGGAGAAGCCACATGACAAGGGTTTCATCTTCTCTACGCTGCACCATTATTACAGTATATCTCGCTAGGAATTGTGCTTTTCTCGGTTATAGTTTATAAACGATATTTTATTGTTTATTAAGGAAGCATTTCATTTTTGCAATAAAGAGATTTAAGTCCTAATTGTACCTGTTTAGTTATATTCTATTTTGTAATTTGTTTCTTTAGTTGACTATGGTAGGCTACTTATTTAAATTACAATTCTTTTTCTTATTTTATTGAGGTCTCAACATTATATACAACGATATTTTATTGTTTATTTAAGGAACCATTTCATTTTTGCAATAAGAGATTTAAATCCTAATCGTACCTATTTAGTTATTTCTATTTTGTAATTGTGTTCTTTAGTTGACTATTTTTAGGCAACTTATTTAAATTACAATTCTTTTTCTTATTTTTTTAGGTGTGTATATATATATATATTATATATGAAGATTTTGATAGTAAATGATGATATTTAAATTTTTTCTTAATTAATCCTCTGTTTTTTCCCTTTGTTTTTCTTCCTTCTCCCTTTTGCTTTTTTATATTATTGTTTTGGGAACATGAATATGCTTGTAGAAAGACCTGAGAATTTAAAAAGAAAATAAGTCAACATGATCCATTGTAGACATTATTCTGATTTTTAAATTCTTAAAATTTTGTATTTTATTTTGTATTTTTGTTTTTGTTTTTCTTTTGTGATTTTTTTTTTCTATTAAATTTTCTTCTTTCTGTTTTTTTTTTCTTTTTCTTTTCTTTCTGTTGTTTCTGGATGGAGATATATTAAAATCTCTTCTTAGTTTTGGATCAAGATGATTTTAGATCCCCTCCCTTCTAAAATTATACTTCTTAAAGAAGAGAGACATGTTATCAGATGATCTCTTCAAGTAACTTTTTCTTGTTCTTTTCAGAAGATAGAATGGGTAGGAAGTAAGAAAGAGACAGTGGACAAGAGTGTTTTGATTTCACTATGTTGAAAGAGTCCTAGTTTTGGATTAAGATGATTTGTGACTCTTCTCTTTCTAGCATTTCAGACCTTGAAGAGAGAGACACATTTTGAAAGCTCTTCCATTACCTTTTCTGCTATCTGTTTTTTCTTGGGCCAAAGATCAACAAAGAGTTGAGATGGATAAATAATTTGCATCTTGGTACTTATTGTCCAATTCAGATACGTGTGCAATGTCTCTGCTACCTTGTCCTGGATTTTTCTGTTGTTTTGCCCAACTTACACCAGTTGATTAATTTGGAGTTTTTTCCTTTTTCAATGAAGATTGGTGGATAACCATCTGCCTCTAATAACCCTCATATATATTTATTTTTTTTTATTTTTTTTTTTTTTTTCCAATTCTTTTATCGTCAGTATTAACATTGTTGAGGTTCAATTTTTAGAATTCCTGTTGATTCTTTCTGGAATTCATGCAGGTTGGGATGATTACTCTTCTTACCTTGACAGGATTGCTTGTATTTATGCTTTTCCTTCTGACTGCAACTGTCAATGCCATTATCGTCTCCCTTCTCCTTTCTTTGGCAGCAGCAGGAGGCTTCTTGGCACTATTTTTTGCTTGTGTAACTGCTATTTATATTGGGGCATTATCTGTTGCTGCTTTTGTTATTTCCACTGCAACAATTTCAGCAATTTTCGCTGTTATGGTGGCTACAGGTATTGCTATTTGGGATATTCTCTCTCTCTCTTCCTTTTTTGATAAGTTTTCCTTCCAGGTTTTTCCCAACTGCTAAATGGTTAGTGATTTCTCATTATTGGAAACTGCATTTACTCAAGTGATGTCGGTTGAGTTTTTTTTAAATTGATGTTGAATTGCTTGATAATTTTTGGAATTTAATTGGCTAAGCTTCTATCTGAAGCTGATGTTAAGCAGTATAAGGCCTAAGGGCTTGTTTTAAGATCCAAAAAAGGGATGTGGTACTATGATATGAGAAATTCTATTTTTCTGTGTCATCCCCTTGCAATTTCTGCAATGTTCTTTAATTCCTAAAAATCAATGTTAAGTCATCTGAGAGGAACGCATCTACTAACTTGCATGTTTATTGTCATGCCTGTATGCTGATATATACCTTCTTAGTTGTATGACTTTCATTATTTGGTCTACTGCCTTTCCCTATTCTACTGTGTCTTAAAGCTGCGCACGGATGTTGTGGGGTGCCTGCTCATATTCATAGTTGCTCGGCAATGGGATGTCCGGGTTCTTGTATACTTGATAGATTTACTTGTTCATAGTGGAATTGTTGTACCATAAATGTTGGGGCTATGACTAGCTAGTAATTTATCCCATTGAAAGCCTCATGCTCAAAAATATTGATTTGTTATGTAATGCTTGAGTCTTCTATTTATAAAATCAGTTCTGGTTCTTCAACTATATAACGGATTTGTCTTTTAACTCTTGTTTTGGATAAAAATTGTTTTACTCAGGTTGGATTGGGTTCTTTTGTGTCTTTTGGTTGGCTATGAAGAAAAGTGTGGGTCTTGCTAAGCACTCATTGCGCATCACTGGTTCAACACTTTCAGCTTACTCTTCTGCTCAGCGTGCTCGTCACCAGACTGAACCGGAATACATTTCAAATTGAACTGTTGCTACAAACTTATGTGGGTAGATGTTTATATGCCTTCAATACTTGTATATGTTTAATAATATTCAGGACCTTGTCTATAGTTTGGGAGCATTTATTTCTTTTAGGACTGAGTCTGAAGCATATTTTATTTATTAATTAAGGATTTTCAAAGGACTGAAGCAGTTGCGTTCTGTATATTTATACGTAACAAAAAATGAAAGTTTTAAGAAGTTTTAAGGGTATGTTTGATTGGAGGGTAATCCCTTATTACTGAGATAATGTCATCTTATATTACTTGATTATCTTTTTTCTTGCTAAGTAAGTAAATTGTATTAAAAAGAAGAAAGATTTACAAAGGTCTACAAAAAAGGCGGTCAATCTATATCGGGACATGTCCTGTGTAGGGTGCAAAAATAAACAAATGTCTAAACTTGACGTTACACAATTATCTTGGAAGCTTATCTAAACCAACATGGGAGATAAGACTCAAGAGAAAGAATCTAGCGAAGAAATCAATAACAGAACACGACCCTCAGGACAATCCCCTGGGTTTGGCTCAAAAAAACACATACAATGAGACACAAAGAAGACCCAAGGCAAAGAAAACAAAGAGAGTGAGGATATACTGCGACAAAGTCTTCACAATAACGAGCAAGTCAATAAGTCTCTCATCGAAAGAACAACATCTCATCTGATCACATGGTCATCAATAATGTTGGAAGTGGAATGAGTGTCTTTGAAGATGGTTCTAGGAAGTCCCCATGTGTTTCTATTTTTATGGGAAGATTTAATATTGCTAAGGTCCATGGCTTTGTCTCTCACCACACTTTTGATAGTATCGATAATAGTGCAAGAATCCCTATACTCTCCCCCAGAAATCCTATAATTTTGCTCCCTCCAAACCCAATACACCATAGCCTTTAGACAAAGCCTACACAAGGTGACCTTTAAACTCTTACCTTTTCATGTCCTAGCCAAATGGGGGATGTAATCATGCCAAGGTCTAACCACATAGCCGAGGTCAGCAAGCATAAGGATCTGACTCCAAATAGATTTAGAAAAGGGGCATGCAAAAATAGGTGGTCAAGAGATTCCATACCCGAATTACAAAAACAACAATGAACATTAGTAGTAACACCATACCTCATCAACCTGTCCTTTGTAGGCAATCTCTCCTTAATAGCCATTTAGAAGATCATAGATTACCTTGGAATAGCTTTTGAGAACCACACCACCAATCAACTTTCGCTCTTCTTCCTCTAATCTCCTCCCAAGCCAATTTGCTAGAGAAATCCCCTCAAGGTGAAGGTTGCCAACAAAGATTGTCCTCAACACTAGAAGGTGTGAAATTCACAGAATTTCTCATGTCAATAAGCGCCCAAGAGTTTGCTCTTTTTCCTCTAATTGGCCACTTCTAGTTACACCCATCGATCACAACACTCACCTTAGCATCCTTAGCAATCTCTGTATCATAAATAATCCTATCCCCATAGGCGCAAACAAGGGGGCCCTTTGGGTGTCAATTATCAAACCAAAGAGAAGTGGTGTTACCATTGCCAATGACATACTTGATATTCTTTCTAGCTAGTTCCTTATTTTTGAGGACGTGCCTCCAAGACCAGGTACAATTTTGGGGAATGTTAATGTTCCAAATGCTTTTATTTCTCAAAAGATGAATTCGGACCCAAGAGATCCACAAGGTATGGTTTCTATGGTTGTATAGATTCCAAATATGTCTTAAAGAAGCCGCGAGATTCCATTTTTTAGATCTCATAAACCCAAGCCTGCCCTCATTTTTTGGGTACACACACCTTCCCCAAGCTATTCTAGCTTTGTGTCTATTGATATCAACCCCGGACCAAAGAAGGGCTCTCAAACTAGCATCAATTTCCTTATGAAGTTTGGAAGGAAAAATAAAGAGAGGCGCCCAATAAATTTGCACACTCCAAAGAATAGACATAATCAAAATAATCGTCCCTGCATAGGATAAGAATCTGCTTCTCCAAGAGGCAACCTGAGCCAAGATTTTATCCAAGCGAGGTCAACAATCTCCAAAGGTTAACTTAGAGACAATAAGAGGGACACCTAAGTATTTGATTGGGAGACTATCTTCGGGAAAACCTATCAAACTTAAGAGTTCCATCTTTTCATTACCACTTACACCGAAGAGGAAGACATTGCTCTTATCAGGGTTTGCACTCAAGCCTGACCAACTTTCAAAAGTAAGTAAAACATTCTTAAAGAGAGTAATAGAAGTACCTTTAGCTTTATAGAAGAGCATGAGATCATTTGCGAAACAAAGATGAGTCAGCCTCATTTTCTTGCATCTCCAATGAAAACTAAAGTTCGCATTAGCTGCCACTCTGTTTAAGAGCCGAGAGAGAACCTCCATAGCAATAACAACAAGTAAGGGGATAAGGGATCCCTTTGTCTCAGCCTTTTTGAGCTCCCAAAGAAACCCACCAACTCTCCATTGATAAGCACTGAGAACTTAGGAGTAGTGATGCACATGGAAATCCAATTGACTAGTACACTTGGGAATACAAAATTCTTTAGGACTTGTAAGAGAAAACTCCCAATTAACTGAGTCATAGGCCTTCATAAAATCTACTTTCGAGGCACATCTCTTTTCCTTGGCCGAAACTTGATTGTAATTGTGCACTAGCTCTTGGCCTAGGAGGATATTATCTCCCATTCTTCTATCACCAACAAAAGCCACTTGTGCTGAGTCAATGAAGAGAGGTAGAACATTTTTTATTCTATTTGCAATGATTTTGGTGATGCATTTATAAATTAAGTTACAACAAGAAATGGGCCGATAGTCTTTACACAAATAAGCATTATCACACTTGGGAATAAGGGCAATATAAATACAATTTACCTCCCTAAGAAGATTTAACTGCCATAATTACATCCTTTCCCACCACATCCCAAGCTTTCTTGGAGAAATATGCACCAAAGTCATCTGGTCCAGGAGCTTTGTTATTACCCAAAGAAAACAGAGTGTTCTTGATTTCATCATCTGTCACTTCGGCCACCATCCCATTAGCCAATTATTTGTGATGCAAGGTTGAATAAGTTCCTCTAACCCTTGGAAATCTCTCACACCCCTTGGCTCTTCAAACACTTTTTTGAAGTGGCTAATTATTTCCTTCTTATTGCTCAAAGGATCATCAATAACCATGTCGTTGTCACACTTAAGCTTGTTGATTCTATTCCTATTCTTTCAGCCATTCACACGCTTGAAGAAATAGCTTGTGTTTTGGTCACCCTCTTTAAGCCATTGCACTCTAGATTTTTGTCGCGCAAAAGATTCCTCGGCATGACTTAAAGTTTTAAAATTATAGGCTTTGGCTTTTTCCTCAAGAATAAGGTTCTCTTCAAGAGGATTAGAAGCAAGATCATGCTGGACCCGTAGGAGGTTCTCTTTAGCTTCAATAACTCTTGCCTAAATATTCCCAAACTCTCTCTTGTTAAACACTTTTAACTCTTCTTTAACTCTCTTCAATTTAGTAACCAATTTATACATAGGGCTGCCCCTTACTTCTTCTTCCCATGCCTTACTAACAATGCTAATGAACCTTTCATGATGAGCCCAAAAGTTGAAGAACATAAAAGGGATTTCCTTAGGAGAAGTACTAATTCCATAATCAACTATGCAAGGAGAATGATCCGAAATGCTTGGGGGAAGAAAATTAGCTAAGGAGTTATCAAACACACCGCCCCACTTTTCATTCACACAAAACCCGATCAATCTTGGTAGTGATCCTATGTTCCCCATCTCTCATATTACTCCAAGTGAAAAAATTACTCATAAACCGAAGGTCTTCAAGTCTAGCCTCATTACACATATTGTTCAAGTCCGAAGCAAAATTACTCCACCTATAAGAACCCCCCATCTTTTTTCCGGTATTCTTCTAAAACCAATAGTAATTATTGTTGGTAATATAAGAGGTAATCTGTTTAATTCTTAGGTATTTTAAGATTATTTGTTAATCTTAATTTTGTTACAATTTTATCCCTTATTAATAAAATTTTAGGATAATAATGCTCTTGTTATCTAAACAATTTACAAAAAATTTATGGACAATTTTAACCTCATACTTAGAATTTTTAAGATAGAATTACCCTTGTACTTCAACAAAATTACCCAAGACCACAACCACCCCTAGCCACCACCCCGGCTACCTAAAAGGACTGTCGGCCACTGACCACCATCGTTGGTTGTTGCTGGCAGTCACTAAAACGACGCACGACCGGTAGGCCATGTGTCGGTGAGGCTGTTTCATGGCCAAAGATGTGGCCGAGAAACAACCACAGATATGGTCGTTTCAGATGCATGGCCAGCCAGATTTGGTCAGTCGTGCGCAATCACGGTGATTATTGGCGACGACCAGTAGTGGTGGTTGGCTGCCAACAGTGGCTTGGGGTAGGCAGGGGTGATCTTGTTACAAATTAAAGTTTTAAATAGCTAGGGTGTTTTAGCAAAATTTCAAATGTAGGGATTATAAGAATGATTCAAAAAATAAATATAAAAATATTATTATATTAATATTTTAAAAGGAAGACAATTTAATAATCTACATAACATACCCACCAATTTATTCTAACCTAACCAAACACATTTTTCTAAATATTCTCAATAATCTTCAAGATAATCTATTTTTTCATTAATATAACATTCCAGGTGTTTTTGGTTGGGGGTAATCCCTAATTATTGAGGTAATATCATCTTACACTACTTGATTGCCATGTTTGGTTGTCAAGTAATACAAGATTTCGGTAATCTTCCACAACCAATAGTAATTACTGTTGGTTATATAGGAGGTAATCTGATTACCTCCATTTTCTTAGGTATTTTAAGATTACTTGGTAATCTTAATTTTTTTTACAATTTTACCCTTTATTAATAAAATTTTAGGATAGTAATGCCATTGTTATCAAAACAATTTACAAAAAATTTATGGACAATTTGAGCCTTATACTCAAGATTTTTAAGATAGAATTACCCTTGTACTTCAACTAAATTATCCAAGACCACAGCCACCCCTAGCCACCCAAGATGATTGCGAGTCACCTTCGACACTCACCTGACTGACGCACGACCAACTAGATTTGGTCGGCTGTGCATCAATAAGGTCGTGTCCAGCCATGGATCATAGCCGAAAATGGCCAGATCAGGCCATGAAACAATAGATCTATGGTCGTTTCATGGCCATGGACCTAGTCGTGAAAAGGCCACATCTAGTCGTTTTCGGCCATGG